GAGCGGGTGGTAGAACCAGGACTCTCCAGTAAAAAATTATAGCCTTGTCTTTACGACAGAGGAACCTGCTTAAAGGGAACTTTAGTATCTCTTCTCAAATCTTGCATGGTTAGGAATCAAGTGAGGAAAAGAGGGTTTTCAGGGACTAGGGAGCGATGCAGTTCCTGGGCCTGATACTGGGCAGATCTGCCGCAGACAGAGGATGCAGCAGATACCGAGACACAGTGTTCATGATCCCCAAAGCTTTCCATTCCTAGCAGAGAATTGATAGTTAAGCAACTAAAACAAAATTAATTCTGCCATCCAGATGGGACTTGGCTCAGTTCCTACAGACTTTTATACTCACCATTTCACATATTTATTGTCTGAGAATATAACTACCTATTAAACATTCACTAGTCTTTAAAATACATACTTCAGATATGATTGTTAATCTTTTATCAATTCCTTTTATTATCAGTTAAAAATGCTTTTCAACACTTGGGCGAACATAGCATTATACGTCTTTGATTTCCTGGTTCTCAGGGACAGCTGTGAGTCTATTATTAGAAACTTCTTATTTCTTAACTGCGGGAGACCTTGGGGCCTTGCTCAGGGTTTGCAGGGAAGGCATTTGTTTCTCCCTGGCCACAGGGAACAAGTCCTTGGACCTGTTCTCCTCTCTGTCACCTGTGCGGAAGGATGATGTCTTCTCCTCTCCATTACTGTGAGGAATGATGCTGCATGACCTCCTTCCCAGGGAGCTGCTCTATGGTCCGTGGTGACATCGTGCACCAGCTCTGAGCCTCCAGGGGTGCCAGGCCAATGGAGAGTCATTGATCCTGGCTGCCTGGAGGACTGCTGTGAGACGGGGCTCATCAGAAAACTGTGATTAATAAGTGAAATCTGCTGTGGGCAAGGAAGGGCTAACTTGTTTGTTCAAGGAATTTTCCATTTCCCATATACTGACTCCCTGGGAATGGGGTGGCCTTGTGCCTTCAGTTTTGATCTCCCCTAGGCATAAGGGTCATTTATTTTATTCTGAATAGGATACCGTAGATACAACGTAATAATCTAGTGGCACCCATTCCCACTGAGGTTAGACTGATTTTATATTCCCAAATAGGCTAGTCCTCTTAGCACACATACAGTTTACAAACTATCATTAAATGCTGAAGTGATAAATTATACTCATATTGTCCTGAATATAGGAAAGATGTATATGCCCAAGGCAGAACTCTTGCACACACGTTTTTTGAAAATGTGCTCTTGTGTGTTTTATTTTACCCATTGGTGTGATTTTTCAATATAGAATAGATTTCTTGGTGTTTTTCCAGTTTAGAATAAGACTATTAGAGCACTGTGTGTGTGTGTGTGTGTGTGTGTGTACCTGTTGGGCACGGTGAACAGTTTGGCAGTCACCACGCAGACCACACCCCTTAGAGGCGCACTCTGGAGAGGATGGTTTCTCCGTCACTCGTGACTGGTGCAGGCCCTCCCTCTCAATCCCGGCAGATCCACGTGCACTTTGTTTTGCTCAGTCAGCAGAACCTGTGGGAAGCATGAGCCTGAGCAATGGCATAAGCAAGGTCTGTCCCAGAGGCACCGCACACATTAAAAGCGTGGCTCCGACACTCGAGACCTGGCTTGTGTCGGCCCAGGCTGTCTCGGCTGCCACCTCCTTGCTGAGTGACCCTCTGTATCACCTGACATGGCCCTCCGCCATCCGAGAGAAAACTGCTGTGTGCTCAGCCAAAGTTAAGGAAGGCAGATATACAGGGGTGGTGGGCAAAAGTAGGATTATGGTTGTTTGTACGTTAACTATTATAATAATTAATAACTAACAATAGGAGAATAAACTGTTTCGAGAACTCACATCTGCAAACCTATGTTTGCCCACCCCTGTATTACTCTGTATGACCTACGACTGGTACAGTTCCCAACCACTTAGATGCCTTATACCATCTGTGGATTCCCAGCTGCTGGAAAGAGAAGAGTCCGTCACTAATCAGAGATTTAGGTAGCTCAGTGCCATTCTGGGGGGACCGTCGGTAGGTTTATAAAAGCTGTAAGTCTGATCTGTGTTAAGAATGAAGCCAATGGTTTTCCCAGCAGGGCCCAGCATCCAGATCCCCTTATGGCTGTAATTGGGAGGTCTGGATCCGAACTAAACAGGCCTACGGGCATAGGGGCAGCCTGGCAGGTTCCCCAGTGACCTGAGATCTCATCTGCAGACTCGGTGTTAGTATAAAAGCACGCAGTGGAGCCCTGGCCGGTGTGCCTCAGTTGGTTGGCATGTCATCCATATACTAAGAAGTGGTGGGTTTGATTCCTGGTCAAGGCACATTCCTAGGTTGCAAGTTTGACCCCTGGTTGGGGTGCATATGGGAGGCAACTGATTAATGTTTCTCTCTCACACTAAAGGTTTTTTCTCTTTCTCTTCCTCTCTAAAACTCAAAAACATTCTCAGGTGAGGGTTGAAAATCTACAACATACTTCTTGAAATGATGTGGTCAGGTAGTAGAAAATGGCACTTAAGTAGTTTTAGGAATGGAAGGGTCAAATACCTCCTTCTTCAGGAACCCGGCAGGAATGGGGAGGGGGCCCTCTGCCTTCCTTGGCGGGGAGGGTGGGAGGAGGTGCTGGTGTGGGGAAGTCTCAGTGCTGCCCTCATTCGTGCTAATACAGCAAACTAATCCTTTAGCTAAATGTCCACTTAACACTGGTAAGGTTTTCAGATTAAATAGCACATGCACATTTATTTGTGGTAAAAAAATCTTAAAACAATGGATATACTTTACACGCTGTGAACACATTTCTAGTAATGAATACATCACAGCTGAGCCCTGCCTGGTGAGGTAAAGTGACAACAGGTGCTGAGAATGCCCCCACTTGACCCCACATTCACTGCTCTCTCGTTTCCGTTGGTGCAGGTATGGTATGCAGTCTTTTCTGCTGGAGGTTCCCAGTTAAATCAGCTGAAGGAGCCGGTGCTGGCCGACCTTCCCTGTGCATCTGTCTGTGTGGTGAGGGGGGAGCTGGGCGGTGTGTGGACAGGAGCTTTGGATTTGTGCTGAGAGGAATGGAAGGGCCTAGCCGTGGCTCTCCCCTGCTGCCCAACTTCTTCCTCCTCCAGCTTCCTCCATTTCCTCTTCTCTGTTCCTTTCTTCCTTTCCCTCCAGCTAAGAAAGCTATTGGAAAGCAATCTACCTATCCTTCCTTTCTCAGTCCTAGAGGACACACAGGTCTATAACTAATCCTATTTTATAGGTGGGGTCACAGGTAAACACAAGACATCTAGAGAGGAATTCTCAGGGAGAGAGGCTAGAGAATCTATATATATATATAAAAGCCTAAGTGACTGTTATTACCAGTCGACTAGTCGCTATGATGACACACTGACCACCAAGGTGCAGATGCTCAATGAAGAAGCTGCCCCTGGTGGTCAGTGTGCTCCCACAGCCAACCTCCTGCAGCCCTCCAGCTGGCCTGATCTGCCCTGATCACCAGTGAGGCTGAGGGACTGCACGCATGCACAAATTCGAGCATCAGGCCTTAGTGTATTGATGATAATTCTGTCTTTCGCCAAAATCATACGAGTGAAGTATTGTCCTTACTAATCATCCTTTGAGCAAATCTTTTTTAAAATGTAGAAACACTGTAACACTGAGGTGATTGGTGATAATGAGTAGTTGAGAAAGATTGCTTTAATACTGACCACACATGTGCACATTAACTAAACATTTTTATTGGACATCTGGATTTCAGTCTCACACACATGGCACAGACGGTTAAGAGGACCTCTGGTCCCTGCGGCTGGTCCAGCAGAGGCCTCTCGTAGCACCAGGAGGAAAGAGCTGCTGGTCCCTTTCCCGCAGTGGCGGCCTGTTGGCAGGTTCTACTTCCTGGTTTTTATGGCCACATACCGTTTGGAAAATGGGGCAGAAGAGGGTAAGAGGCTAGAACAGGGTCTAATCCTAAAAGCAACGTGAATACGTTTCAGTGCTGGGGTTAACGCTCTCACCCTGAGCAGGATCTGCCCAGTAAATGCCAATCAGTTTTTGGCCCTGCGTCTGGGAAGGGGCTCAGGACCCTCCATCCAGTCCCTCCATTTTCAGGTGAGGAGGGGGCTCCGGGAGTCAGGTGAAGGGCACAGGAACGCCGGCTTTCAGAGCTGGGCTCCTCAGCGCACGGCTCACTTGTCCCACAGGCTGCCAGGCTCTCTTTCTGGTCGTTGGAGGAAGCGTGTTGTCTGCGAGCCAGTGTTTCTCAGTCTGAGGGATGTGGGGGTGATTCCTCTTCTGGGCTTGCTGTGCAGTTTCAGTCCAGGCGGCAAAGCAATGAGGCAGCCTTGGGGAGTGTCCCAGGGCTGTATGAATTCATGCCATTTCTCTCTTCACCTAGAGCTTCCATAACTGCCTGCTTTCAAATTTAATCATTAGGTCAATAGTTCTCATTTTAAGAGACAGTAATAAGGCTGAAGTAAAAGGTGCAGTCCTAACACCTCAATCTGCTACACAGCAATCTACCCCGTTTCCCCGAAAATATAATAAGACAGTGTTTTATATTAATTTTTCCCCCCAAAGATGCGCTTGATCTTATTTTCGGGGGAACACGGTAACGATAACAGGCTCAGAAGCAGCCCTAGGTGCCAAGCACTGGAGGCCTGTGTGCTGACACCAAGGAGCCCCACTGAGCCTTCTCAGCTTCGAATTAGTCATTTTCTAGGATAAATGGAATGATTAATAACATAAGGACAATCAGTACTGAACTGTATGGTGGAATGATCCACATTAGTTTTTTAACCAAATGTAATAGAACGTGTTTATTTTCTTAACATAATGATATCTCCCCTCACTGTAAAACTGAGATCTGTCATGTTACCTGAATCACCTAAACATGACATCTTTAAGAGGAGTGGGCTTAGACTCCTGCAGACCAAGGGGCCCTGTGCTTGTTGCGCAATGAGGTGCTGGCAGATGAGGTAAGTTGGAGGTGGAGCTAGAAGGCCAGTCCCCGGGTCAGTTTTTGATGGCCATGGTCCAGAGGAGGGGGTGGTCCGTTTCCACGGTCACGACACCAGACCCATCATAGGTATTGGAGGTGCTGACCAGGGTTCCAAAGCTGAGCGTGTGATTTGCTGTAAGAAAACGATAAGAAAATGTTTAGAATGAATCTGTCAGCAGTTACAAACATAAGTGAGCTTGTACTTGGGTAGAAGACATGTGAAATGCGGGTGGGGAAATACAGGACATGGGATTGTAAAACTGGAAGTTTTTCTAACTTGCTGGGGCTGGTGGCTGGTTGTTGACCTTTTGGACACATGCCATTCTCATAGCAAAGTTCATTGACTTTTCTTTTGTGTTCCTTACCAAAACCCATTTCTGTAACATGCTACTTCATTCCTTGCCTTTCATGGTGCAATTTGAATTTTTCTTGATGTTTCAGAACATTTAGGCTAGTTATTAAACTCTACAGAGACCCTGTTTTAGCTTCAAGTAAGCATAGGATTTTGATCTTTTTTCCCCTCATAAATTAAGAAAAGGCCTTTTTTTTTTTTTTTTCTGTAAAAGTAATAGGAACAAAGATTAGAGCCAACTTCCAAAGTCCAACCTTGAGTGAGCCACTGCCAAGCAGCTGCAAAGCGAGGACAAGAGATGAGCTGTCCTTTACGCCACTAAGTCATCCAGCTAAAGGCTTGCGAGTGATAATAAGAACTTCTGTATTCATAAATTACATAAATCTATATTTACACTTTCTAACACCATGCTTGGAGTAAATGCTAGGCACAGAGCAGTTCTTTGTGCCTTTGCTTATATAAGAGCAGTTCGCTTCATCAACTTGACTGTCGTATAAATATTATTTTTGGCTAAAATTCAGAGAAAAAGAAACAAGTGCTATGGACCAATACTGTTAGAATCAGGAAACCAGGAAGTTACACTGTACTAATTCAATTGTAATGCTCACTTCCCACTAGAGGGAGCCTGTTATCTTTCTGAGGAAATATTTGGAAAGACAATTTTAAAATTCAGAAATGTATAACTAATATTCCTACATTCTTTAAGGAATATAATGAGTAGATTCCTGCCTGGACATATAATTATACTCATTCTAAACCATACCCTTTCTTTCCCACTGCTCTAGATTCCTTATCTGATCAATCCAATTGCCTATAACCTGCCTGACCCCCATCCCAAACATCCTGGCGTTTGAGGTCCTTTGTCACCTGGCTGCTTCCTCCTACTCACCCTTTCTTCAATAGAACAGGAATGTCCCACTCCCATGAAAAGTTTTGATGTCCTTTCTCTCCTGCCACATATCTGTTTTTTTTTTAATGCTTGCTGTATCCCTCAAGGTTAAGGTCAAGTGTCACCTTCTAGCCTGTAGAGTTCTCTTTGGTTCTCTACCTACCACAGGTGGATAATAATTCCCTTTCTATTTATAAATTACTTGACTGCTTCTCTAGAAGAGACTTTGAGTATTTCAATTCTAAGTCTAGGACCAGCAAAGTATAAGGTGAGTCTGAAACATCTGTTCCCAGAAAAGCAAGAGAGAGCTAAAAAAAAAAAAAAAAAAATCAGTAGAAACTGAGAAGACAGAAATAGAGAAGAATACTAAGAGTGATGCAAAATAATCTATCAAACAATAGGAAGAATCCCAGAAGGCAGGGAGAGAGGAAAACTCTTCTATAGGAGAATTCTAACTACTAAAGGAATGAGTGATGGAGTCAGAGAATTAGGAAGGCACTGTTTGCAGCTGCCAGTGTAATAACTGGTTCAGGCAGGATCAGCTATCAATGATGCTAAAGCCATTGAGCGAAATGTTGTTGGGGAGCAAGATATTTTCAGTCTCAAAGTACCATTCCATGTATTACTTCCAATTTTTTTAAAAAATGTACCAGACATGTATCACCAGTAAAGAACAAACTGACATTGTGTTCTTCCTAATGTGATGCGACATGAACACAAATGTAACATCACTTGTATAATAATTTTTGTCAACATTGCTCACTCCAAATGTAATCGGGGGAGGCAGCAGACCAGGGCCGAAGGCGGACACCTGGCAGGCTCACTGGCTTGGGGTGTTCAAAGCTGTCAACGTTAAGGGGTGTATGTGGGGCTTTTCTGGGTTAAAAGACACTAAACAGATAATACAATTAAATATGATGTTTGGCTTTTAAAGATATTGTAGTGGATTTAAAAATGTTATAAACAGCATCAATGGAAGAACCAAGGGACATGAGGATAGGCTGTATAATACTAATCTATCAGTGTTACAGTTTTGAGAGTAGATAATGACAGTGTTATAGTTTTTGGAATAGATAATGACATTGTAGTTATATGGGAGAACATACTTGTTCTTGAGAAAGAGAACCTGAAGCATTTCAGGGGTTAAGTATCATCATGCCTTCAACATAAGAGTCCTCAGCTTATGATGATTTGACTTTCAGTTCTTTGATTTTAAAATGGTGAGAGAGCAATATGCATTCAGTGGAAACTCTACTTTGAATTCTAATCTTTTCCTGGGCCAGCAATATGCACTGTGATACTGCAGCAGCAGTGAATTGATGCTGCCCAATTGTAGGGTAGGGCAGTGGCTGGCAAACTGCAGCTCGCGAGCCACAAAATACCACAGGTGGGCGCGCATATACAGCGCGATTGAAACTTCGTGGCCCATGCGCAGAAGTAGGTTTTCGGCTCAAAAGAAATCTCAATCATTGTACTGTTGATATTTGGCTCTGTTTTTGACTAATGAGTTTGTCGACCACTGGGTTAGCGTTTGTTCTGAGCACTTGTAAGGTGGGTGAGGCTGTGATTCTGAGTAGGTTAGGTGTATCAAATGCATGTCTACTTATGATATTTGATATTTTCAACTTAGGATGGGTTTATCAGGACTGAAATGGTTTTGAAAGCAAAAAACACACTCGAAGAATTGCTTAAGTAGAAAAAAATGTCAACAATTGATAAATTTGGGCAAAATATATATAGATTTTGCTGTTGGTCTGAACCCTTTCAACATTAAAATTTAGGGGGGAAATTTGGGGGGAAGGCTAAGAACTTATGAAGGGAAGTACTTTTTACTCTTGTTCATCTTTATCTCCCTAAGAGCTGAAATAATGCCATTACAAGAATCAAATCAAGAAATGCCCATTGATGTAAAGTGCATTGAAATAAACTAAATTAAAGAGAATGTGAGCCAAAGTTAGAAAGCAGTTGTCTAGGGCCACAGGTGGTCTGTGAAGTTTTAAAGGTTGGCGACCGCTGGTCTAGGCTGTGATGTCTGTGCTGAGCTTCGGGGAAGAACCTGAGGGGGGCTGGGCCCACAGTGGGCACACAGGAAGGAGCTCACTGACACTCGCCAAGGACAACCTTTGCCGCACTTATTGATGCAGGAGGGCCTGAAATTAACTGGAATTATGTACAGAACTTAGTGTTGGCTCATGATAAGAGCAGGCCTATTCACTGCTATGCTTGCCTCTGATAACACGTCCTCAGCTGTGCTTGCTCTTGGACATTATCTCTCAAAACCCTGACTTGCTGAAGACTCCTCCAAGGTAAGCGCGCAGGCTACCTCTTTATCCTGACAGCCAATCTTTCCGGAATCCAATTGGCTAAGGGCTATTATAATTCTAGTGAAAGTGGCTGCATTTATCTGCACCTCTCTCAGAAGTCACATGTCCTGTGCCCTTGGATCAAGGCTGGAAGGCATTAGAAGACCTCAGATGCTCAATTCTTCCTTCTCTGTTTCCCATACTATGGCTCATCCTCTGACAAAAACAATTAGACCGAGAACATGCTGCTGCTTGAAGGCATCAATGCTGCATATGCCAATTAGAAAATGTCTACTAATATGAACACTTTCAAGTCTGTGGATATTTAAAAATAAACCAAAAACAGTGGCACTGTTTTCTTGGCTGTAAAGAATTCCCTAATGTGTTATGCCATAAGCATGTTCTACACCAAGGCCCTAGGTTACATACAGCTAAGGAGCCAATCAGAGCTGCTTTAGGGAAAATGAAAAAGCTTACTGGGTTTATGAAATAGAAAGGTCAGTTCAAATTCGTAAGTTTACTTACATAATTACTAGTGATAAGAGGAATGATCTGTGTAGAACTGGACAAAAATTTTCAGTGTAAAAGGTCAGATTTAAACGTGAGCAGAGCAGAATGCTAGTTTGTCTAAAGGCTGCTTCACTTCGGTCTAGTTAGTTCCTTCACCTCTTGCTGCCCTGCCCCCAGCTCTTCACAAGAGGGTGAGAATCAGAACTGCACATGCTGAGAGGACTGGCTCCCAGACCCAGGTTCTCATCCCACTCTGTGGCTGACTGGGCAAGTCACTGTGTGCTGCTGGTTTCTGTCACCTCTCCACTGTAATATCCTCAGCACTTTGGCCAAAAGTTTCTCAGCAACCATTTGAAAATACCAATAATACCTGTCCTGTTATCTCCAATATATTGTTGTGGATACGAGTCTGTTAATGTCTATGAAGGGCTTTGACTTCCCCATGAAAGTACTGAAAATTTATTATTATCAAATGCTTTAAAGTGGCATTTGCTTGTATACTTCAAGTGTCGAGAGTCTTCTAAGCACATCAACAAATGGAAATGGGATAGAAAAGTGAAGGAAGAAAATAATAACGTGAGGTAGCACAGTATGATTATTTAACATCACACTCAAACCTGTAGGTGACATCTTTTAAACTTTACCAGTCAAAGCTGATAACCCAGACAAATAAACACACCATTCTGTGGGAGAAAAGGCATCTACATGTGGCAGGGGCTGTTCTGGAAGGCTGTACATGGCATGCCTGAGAGGGAGGGAGAGGTTAGAAGAGTCAAACGTGTGGGGTTGGGAAAAGTTGGTGACAGCCCCCCAAAAACTGCTTTGAAGGACATTACTAATTTGGGTAAGATTTGACCGAACCAGCATATGTAGGCCTCATGCTTAAGTTGATGTGTCGTAAAACAAGAAATACTTATGCATGTCAACCTCCTCCTTATGGTACAGCACAGGTGGAATTAACTGGCGGCAGCATTACAGCTGTCACCTGGAGTAGAAACCATCGTGACATCAGAGAGGACAAGGCCAGGGGCGCAATGCAAACGAAGCCAGGTCACCGTACAAGGGAATGGAGGCCTGGG